GAAAATCTACTCAGTAATGAGTTTAAGTCACAAAAACACAAGTCTAATTGAAAATATTTCTGAAATCTTTAAACATGTTTAAAAACCTGTTGGAGCCGAGTTAAAATTTGAACGTTTTTGTATTTTTCAAAGTAAAAAAAAGTTTTTTTTTATGTCCAGCAGGAAGCAGTGCAGCTGTAAGCAAACAATCATCTGCAAAACAATAACAAACCTTCGAAATGTGGAGTTTTAGCATAAAAACTGCCTCCAGCTTCRGTTCTCTCTCTGAGCAGAACACACACCGCTTCCTCCGACGAACAAAACTACAACTTCCGGGTCAAAAATGTCAAGCTTCCGGAAAATGGGATGTGTCAAAATAAAAGCTCTCTCTCTTTTCATTTTAACATTTTCATGAGTTTAAACTCAGCGTAAAAATCAGTTTCATATTCTAGATTTTTCTTTTACTCTGAGTATGAGGTTGTTTTAAAGCTATTAAAAACTGCAATATTTTTATTTAAATAAAAAAACTTACTTGATAAAATAAAGAAACAGGACCTCAGATAAACAATATTTTATTTGAAACAAGATGTTTTTTTTTACAGTTTTCAGAGACAAACAGTAAACTGTGAATCTGCAACTAAAATTCATGCTTTCATTTTGCCATTTTCTTCATTAAGAAAAGAAAAGATGAAAAAAAAAAACATTTTATGCACTGTTTTGCTTCTGCCCAGGTGTAAAAACAACATAACATTTAASAGGTTTTAAAGTGTTTTGTTTTTCAGACAAACAGAACAAAACAAACATGTTTTATGTTCAGACAGCAGGAGGCGCTGGATATCTGAATCAGTTTAATAAACATCAGAAATTATTTTACTGACGAGTCACTTCTTCACACGGAGATTAATGTATTTACACCAACACCTGAACTGGTTCAACAACCCAGTTCAGGTGTTTACGCACACATTTACAGATAAATACATCAGATTATCACAGATTATCATCAATCAGAATATCATCCAGATAAATCAGATTAGCATCAATCATATTTTTATCAGTAAGATTATTGTCAGTCAGTTTATCGTCAGTCAGATTATGGTTTGATTAATCTCAGTTGAATTATCGTCAGTCAGATTATCATTAGACAGATTACCATGTAGATTACTGTAAATCAAATGGAGTCACTGCTGTTTATTTTCCCATTTTACTTTGAAATATGTAAAATTATGTGACAAAAAAAATTCATAATTCATTTAAATGTTTAATAAAACAGGAACCTTCAGTTTAACTGTTTCACAAAATAAAAATGAATTGTCCCAGACTTTTTTCC